TTATTGGATTTACCAAAAAAGGGTGCGATTTTAAACCAGTTTAGTCAACCCACTGTGTGGACACTCTTATTTTGGTTAAATCAGACTTATTTTGGCTTAACTTAAATCAACTGAGAACAGATTTAAGCTAAACCAAAGTATGCCACTACCAAACATATAGTGATTTTAATATTAAAATAAATAGCCCGGGGACAACTGTCCTAACTGGATTATTTATTTTCAGATTTAATTCAATAGAAATCTCAATTTTTAAAAAATATTTAATGAAGTTGCCAAAGATCTTTAGAAGCCAGTTACCCTACTGCAGAATTCCTCTCCACCTTGCTGTGCAGTACACAGGGCCTTATTCACAGCATTGCATTTGGTAAATACACTTACAGTACCCCAGCCCTATCACTATGCTTGGATTTTCCAGAGAGACATGTTAAAAGTTGATGGTCAAAATGTTCTTTTCCTTCCCTCTTCTCTTCCCCTCCCAGCTAGTACAGATTGTCATTTTGTTTAATTGGATGAACATTTATCTCCTGATGGGGGGAGCTGGCAAATCTACAGTCACACTCCCTGCCATTCCTATTTAACAAGAGACTGTTGAGAGGAACTGATTACAGGGAAGTGAAGTTCTATTTCCCTGGCTCTCACTGCCACAGGCAATCAATTTGAAGCCAAGGTTCTATCTTGAAAATCCCAAACACAATTGAAAAAAAATGCTAAAATCAAAAATGAAAAAGTTGGCCTCAGTCATTCCTCTGGGTCCAGCATCTCCCCTGGGTTCTTCTGGTGCATCACTCAAAGCACAGCTATAGGATATACTTCACTGTGCTGACTGCTGTCACTGGGGTCCTCTGTATCAAATGAATAACCCCTCACCCTCTCCCACCCTTGAAAAGGAATGTGCTGGAGAGTCCATTGTGGCTGTCAGGCTGAGAAAAATGGGCTACTCAGCACCACTAGGGGCCCATCTATCCCTCACTCCACCACTTAACAGTCTGTTATGAGACCAAAGAGAGCTGCTGCAAAGGTAGCAAGAGCAATAGAATTCCTTCCTAACTCCAACTAAAGCAATCTTTTCCTATCTGAGGGGGAAGGGAAATCATAGCATAGTGATTTAGAGATGGCAAAGGAGAGCAAAGGCTCTAGCTAAGGCACAGAGTGAATTTTGGAGGAAGGTTAGAGCTAGAGTACTGAACTATACCTTTTACCTCTTTCTTGTACCTCTATGAAGCCATAGACTGAGTAAAGCACAGGCAGCCATAACCCAGCCTTCTCCCATGTAACTTTGTCATACTCCCTCAACCCTGAATAGCGAGGACCAGTACTGAATGTAGGAGGGGAGCTCAATCTCTAGTCACGTCTTGGCTTTTCCGCTTATGCTAATTGTGGTTCTGGTTTCAAGTACTTTCACTGTCCACCGCAAAATACAATCTGGCCTCTGCTCATAATAGCTACCAAAACCAAACTCAGGACTCCTTGTGTCAGATGTGCACAGCTAGAAGTAAGACTGCTATTACCCCTGAAGCAAAAAGTATGTGCTACTTCCTGGATTGATTCAGGATGGGTTGGGGGAAGCGGATCCATTGGAAAGAAAAAATCCTGAAGACAGTTAAGATCTCTCTTGTTTTTCACAGCTTTCCAGTTTCCTATTCTCTTCATCCTTTGCCTCTGCGACAATAATCCTAAATGTGAAAGATGCAAGATGTGCTGCCTTAGGATGTTCACTGTCAAGTCATCTCTTTATTGCTGAACCATGGATCCCTTTGTTTTCAGGTATTATTTGCCCCTGAATATTTTTGTATTATTCATGTATAGCAGGCAATATAATAATAATTTACCGGAATGTAGTGCTCTTTAGTCCTTTACAAACAGTAATTACATAGGAATCACATCAGCCTCCTCTGAAATGTAGCCACCTCTGGGGTGGAACTGTTTAACAATGCACAGCAATACTAAACAACCATTTAGGTCAGGGACTGAAGAATACTGTAGCCAGTTAAAACTGCAGAGAAAATCTAGCAAGACAGTTCATAATTAACAAAGTTGAAACTTGACCAGGACATCAACACTAGATATGGCTAAAATCAGGAGTGGTTTTGGTTTCGCAAAACCTCATTGTCAGAGTTTTGATTTTGCACAGCTAAAATCTGGGGTGGTTCAGATCTAGATCCCAATTTATCAGAATCCCCCAAAAGTGTATGAAGGGAGATGGATAAATGACACAAGTTTGAATCCATCTGACATGAACACCTCCTTGCGTATAAAAAGGTACAGGGGACCTTTAAGGAGCACAAGTGATCAGGGCCTTGGTTTTATAGCTCATCCAGAAAACAGCTACTACCGCCACACAGGGCTTCTTAGGGCACTGGCTCAGTACTGACTATGGGTATGTCTATACTGCATGATTGTAGCTTGTGCAAACATACCTGAGTTAGCTTTAGTCGAGCAAGCTCAGATATCAGAGCTGTGTAGCCATGGCAGCATGTGCTTCAGTGCTAGCTGTACAAGTCCGCCTGGAACCCTGGGTAATTACTCACAGGGCTAGCCCATACTAATGCGGCTTCACTGTGCCAGTACCTGAGCTATCTAGATTAAAGCTAGCTCAGGAATGTCCACTCAAACTACAGTCACACCCCATGGCTGCAGTATAGACATAACCTCAGAGGGAACGTTGCCTTTGAATCACCAATCCATTTCCTGCAACACCTACATGTTGCTTGGAGGTCTCTCAAAAAGGCATAACTTGCCAAGACTTATACTCCTAATATATAGTATGATGTCTATAAATTCCTAGCTTTGGTACACTAGGGGGTTGGATGTTTTCTGGCTCGCCAAGTTCCTATTAACTCATGGTTCATTTCTGTCCTCTTGAAAAATTAACTTATGCTTCCAGCTACATTGGCAAAGGAAACATTAAAAACTGAGTAACAGGCCAAAGGTAAACAAAGTATAAACCCAAATATTGTGACAGCTGTAACTCTTCTAATCAAATAGCTTCTATGCCTATTGCTGCCATAGCCTTTTGAGGATATCAGCCAGCAGGTATAGGAAGGGAAAAGGAGAGTGGACTCCATCAAACCATCCTCATTCGCATGGACAACATCTTTAATGAAGGCCTGCCCCTGTATCTGCTATGGCCTGTCTCTTAGTGTGCCCCACACAGCTGGGAGAACCATGACCTGTCCCAGAACTGGAGGCTGTGATCTGGATGAAACCAGCCTAGCTGTACAATATGTTGTCCATGGGTATGGAGGGGGATATGGTCAGAGGGTTTGTGTGAGTAAACTTATTGTATTGCTCTTTGCCTAAGCTAGTGACCACCTAATGAAGATTCCAGAAGCTCTTTGAAAAGGGAACACCTCCTCCAGCCCAAAAAGAAATTGAAAGGAGATTGCTAATGAGAGCTTTTCTAGCCCCCTCCCTCCTTTAAAACTGAAAGTTGGTCAATTTATAAGGTAGCAAGTCACAAACACACCTACCTCCACACAGTAAATATACCTATGGCATCAGTTCATTGTTAAATACAGTGACCTTCAGACCCTCTAGTGGCTATGCATGAACCCCACATATCCAATACTTTGAAATGTAAAGCCACTGCATAAGACAAATTGATCTATAAACACAGATTTATCAAGGCACGCCTCTCCTTTTTCACCTTTGTTGAGAGGGACACAGATTCGTCCCTCAATCACATACAACTATCTACCTACACTTATCTGATTCATGAAGCATCAAGAAAATCTAGGTCAGGAATATGCACAGATGCACATGCGCCCGCCCTCACATCCATTCCCTGTACCTTCCACAGTGAGGAAATAAACAACAGCCTCACCCTGAAAGTGCCTCGGACCAAATTGGATATGTAAATGTGTCAACACTCTGTGTCTAGACTGCCTCTTCAGAGACTGGAAAATATGCTACTAAAGATTCTAGTCAGCTGCTAACACTTTGCATTCTCCCACGGAGCTTAGCACTAGAACAGGAAGGGAGAAGCACTCCAAGGGACCAATATGACCAGCCATGTCAGCAATTACACTTCAGTTGAAAGAAAATACATGTACATCCTCTCAATGACCCATAACCCTAAACATTGCTTAGTTAAAGATACATTTTTTTTTAAAGACAATAATTCCTGCATTAATTTGCGAGATTCCCAGAAGGTGGTGACAGGAGATAGTCACTGCTGCTCAAAATAGAGGAGAAGAATTTCCAAAGTACAACACAGTATCCAATATATATGTATAACAAGAGGATGCACTCCTGTTGGCATCTTCCCTTTCATGTGAAATCCTAATTCTTCCATTTTGTCAGTGAAAACTCTTTGTCCATCTCCAAGCCCATAAGGAGGAAGAGAATCTATAAGGCCAGCTCTGCATATCCAGGCAATTCCATCCCTGTCATGTCTTATTGCTTCAGTCACTGCTACAAGTTGATGGCCAATGGCCACAATTATCACCAGAAGCCAGGATCCTTCCCTGTGCCTTTAAAGAGCAGCATTTCTTTTCCTAGACTCTCAAAGGCAAGAAGTGTCACTGAGCAGTGCCTCCCACCCAAGAGACAGGGTGTGGGGGGGTAGAACCACATATTTCATGACAGAACCTACCAATTTCTGCTATGTGCTAGTACTGAATTCTGCTGGAAGCTGGAAATTCTGCAGCAGCGTGAAATGCATGGGAAAAATGCAAATGCATTCGATTTTACTGAATTAAAAATTACAAAAATTATTTTATTCATGTTCATATTTAATTCAATACTAACCTCTGCATATGAATGTTCCCCCCCCACACACACACTTAATGCTTTCATGCTAATGCAGAATTTCCAGTCACCCAAACAAATACACAGAGCTGTGGGTGCTAGCAGCAAATTGGCTTATCTGCCATGACGACTATCCGCATGAGGCATCTCTGAGTGGGTTGTCTATCAAAGCCCCAGTTCACCTTTACTGGTTACTATTGCCCTTTATGTGCACAATAGAGAAAAGGAAGAAAAAAGATGGACACACTTACGCAAGGCATGCCACTCATCCTGGCGGATTGTCTTGGTGATGTTGTAGGTGAGGTTCTTGGGAATTGTTGCTGAGGAGTAGTGGTACTTGATGTACGTGCACTGATCAATTGCTCCTGTGACAGCCAAAAAGAAAAATAAATAAAATGTTGTTAAACAAGAGCAATTTATTCTCCCAGTCAAGGCCCTTCACTACCAAAAAACAGAGTGAAAGCCAAATTAACTGCTTGGGTAACTTCGTTGAATCTATTGGGATTGCTAGGGCTGTCTTTGACCCACTAGGGCTATCCTACTTACAGATATGGAGGGCACACTTTTTGGATCTGTCCTTCAGTAAGAAAAAGCATAGTAGAGCAGAGATGAAATATTTTTATATATATATTTCATCATACATATATAAAAATAATTCTCACATGCAGGGCCGGCTTTAGGCCAATTCCACCAATTCCCCCGAATTGGGCCCCGCGCCTAAGAGGGCCCCGCGTCCAGTGGCAGGGCTGCCCAGATTGGGGGGCAAGTGGCAGAGAATCCCTTCCCTGGCTAGAGGCACCTTTTTAATTTTTACTCACCTGGAGGTGCTCCGGGTCTTTGGCGGCGGGTCCTTCAGTGCCGCCGAAGACCCGGAGTGAGTGAAGGACCCGCCGCTAAAGACTAGGAGCACGGCCGGGTGAGTACAAGCCCCGCGTGGTTTTTTTATGTGTTTTTTTTTTTTTTTTTTTTTAAAGTCATCCCTGTCGGGGCCCCGTCGAAACTGTTCGAATCGGGCCCCGCACTTCCTAAAGCCGGCCCTGCTCACGTGATTTTTCCCCTGGGAACAGGAAGGAGACAGAGAACCACACCTGACAGATGACAGTCATGCAGCTTAGTGTACCTCTGGAAGGTGCTCAGATACCATGGTGATGCGTATGGTATAAGAAC